ATGTTATCCTCTCCATAGAGTGTACTTTAGAGAGTAAATCTAACCAATCATTTAAAACTGGGGATTCTTTCCTTCTCCAAAATTTTGTTATTGTTTTAAAAGCTGTCATTCTCAGTATTCTAAATAAATATAACTCATCTTTACTAAGTAGCGTAGGTCCTATACCCAAAACTATATTTTGTACCTTTATTATATTTCTTAAAAATTTCTTCTATTACCTGAATTACTTCTGTCCAAATTTTTTATTTTTATTTTGCAAGTATAAAATATATGAATATAATGGGCTTTAAGTTCACCGCAGCTTCTCCAACATGCTGAAAATAAATGATGATATCATCTAAATTTTTTATTTTAATTTCATCCTTTAAATAACTTCTTATTTGAAGATATTTGTAAAATAATGTCCTAGACAATACGATCCGTGGCCATGGCACGACAGACAGAGAGTTCATGAACAGCCTCCATAGTCATGACAGGGCAGACAGTGAGTTCATGGACGGCCATGGCAAAAATACAAGAGGGCAAGGGAAGCATGACACAAACAGGGACCAAACTACAAAATAAAAGACATGAAAACATGAATATGAAACAAAACCCAAACACCAAACCCCACATTACACTTATACTCTCAAACGTCTCCATCTCATTGTCTCCATAAATTTGATAAAATCCTTTGCTAGCCCAAACCTTAAATACATCATCAAAAGTATTTGGTTTAAAATCTGGATCTCTTGCTATTTCTCTTAAACAAACCATCATGTGATCACTAATCTATAGAAGTTCACAGAATTGACTCGGCAACAGCTGAGTAAAACTGTTTCATCTGAGCATGTTCTTCGTATATTATCAGATAATACCCGATTTTTCACAAATCCTGTCTGATCTAAGTTAATTATTGTTGGTAATATATCAGCAAGTCTAGTAGCAATTATTGATGTGAAGAACTTCTGACCTACATTTAACAAAGATATCGGTCTATAAGATGAACACTGTATAGGGTCTTTCCCTTCCTTTAATATTACTGTTATAATAGAAGAGTTCCATGTCTGTGGCCACTCATCCTTTTCTAGAATCCAATTAAAAACCTCACACAATATTGAGGACAACAATTGATTAAATTCTTTATAAAGGTTAACACTTTATTTTGTTGACTTGTAATTGTAGGAAGATTCAAAGAATTCAAATAATTTTTAATTTCACTTGTATTCAAACATTCAGAATCTAGTTTATAAAGAGATTGGTAATAATCTCTAAAACACAAAATTATTTCTAACTTCCCCTTTCTTTCAACTAACCCTTCATCCCTTATACTCATTATTGCAGATTTTTCTTTTTGTTTTTTTATTTTCAATGCTAGCCTTCTTAGAGATTTTGCACTATTATCATAATATTTCTGTCTAGTATACATTAAAGGAACACTCCACTATTTTTGAAAAAAGGATTCGACAACGGTAAAACTCAACTGTTTAATTCTAGGGGAGTTGGAAAATGAGCCTATTTTCAAAAATAGTGGAGTGTTCCTTTAAGTTCTTCTCAATATCTGCAATTGCTATTTTATCTAAGGACTTCTTTACCTTCTTTAACTCTTCATGAACCTCCTTATTTAAATTTTTCTCGTGCCTTTCTTGTAAACTTTTTAATTTATTTTCTAAGTTTAACTTCTCTATTTGACTTTGTTTCTTTGTTTCCATGATGCATATGCTATTATTTCCCCTCTCATTGTGGCTTTAGCAACCTCCCACAATATAACTGATGTCACTTCTCCATTATTATTACTCTGTATATAATTTCTAAAACAGTATATTATTTTTTTTTTTTTAAATATTATCCCTAAGAAGAGAATTATTAAATCTCCATATTGGAGCTCCTCGTATACTCC